GCACTTTTCTCTTCAAGAGGTGATTTAGCGTCAACTTTAAAATAATAGGCGTCATCATCAGGCCCGCCACAAGGGGGGGGATACTGGGTCCCTGGTACCGGGGCCCGGGCCCTGGAGGGGCCCGTGACGCAGGTGTCAAACCACTACGAATTCATGTGTAACCCTTGTCTCGTAAGGAAAAGTGAAAAAATTACCCTAAAAATTCTGCAAAAGGTGAATAAAGTCTCAAATACACGCTAGAGCACTATACAATTTTGCTTACTTTTTTAGAGATTTCTATCTATTTTCAAGATTTTGAGTATATGTAGAATGATATTTTTAGTAAGTAACTGCGTTTCATTTTCTTCCGTTGTCGGATGCTAAAAGGCTCTTGTCTGGGCATCCTCGACTTCAATGGCTCAACTCCCTTGCCATAGACGAACGATAGGGGAGTCCAGGGGGGCCCAGCTCCCCCTAGAATTGAAAAGTATCATCTGCCCCCCTCAAAATAAAATTTATAGATGTTTTGAATGCAACAATTCGAAAGTATTTGGTGCTGAAAGTAAAGAAGAAGGCGTAATTATTCTGCAGAAATTGATGGAAAATCTCCATCATAAGAGCTTCAAAATGCGTCCAAATAGATTTAAAATTTCAAAAATTTCCCGGGGGAGGCCCCCCGAACCCCCCTCCCCCCCGTGCTAGGGGCCCGGGTCAGAAAATTGGTACCAGGGCCCGAGATGGGATGTGGCGGGCCTGGTCATCATACCTTACTTTCGACCTGAATAAAAACGTGTAGTATACTTAATCACACAAGGGCGAAAGAAGCCACATAAAGCCTCAGAGTATACCATACTGATTTTGATTAGGATGAGCACAGGGCGGTGTGGCTCAAAAAGTTTCCAAATAACTTCAATTTACCGTTTTTTATCGAACAATTTATGTATCATAACAATAGAACGGTTGAACTGATCCTTAAAAGAATTTCAGGGAATTTTCCTCATGACACTAAGCAAAATCTCTAAAATTTTCCGAAAGAGTATGTATAACTCTTGTCTAGCAGTGCATGTAATTATCTAATGGAGATTGGAAACAGTTTCTGTCACTTTTATCTGTATTTCGAGAAACATCACACTACTAACCTACACGTCACCGGCGCCCTCGTAAAATTTTACGCCGCGAACACCCCAATCGGAGCAGATGAAAGAGAAACCGTGAAAAAAGATCATCGTTTTAGCCTTTCGTTCCCCTGTCAATGGAACGCGTTCAGCAGAAAGGGACCAAGTCACATCTGCTATTGTCAAATTTAATTGGGCAATTTATTTTTTTACAAGAGAACGTTTGGGCGGATGCCTTTGAAAATTTTAGGAAATTCGCTTCGTGCTGTGCAGAAAATTCCCTGTTTGCACAAAAATCTACACAACTGTTTTCATGTAAAAAAATTATAATGCCCGATGAAGTTTGGCAAGAGCTGATGTGGCTTGGTTCCTTTCTGCTGAATGCGGTCCATTTTACCTATACGGCACTGATTATCTAATGAACCACACAGTGGCGTGGCGTGCTTTGCGATACATCGATTTTTCTACCATTTAAACCTATGGAAAAGGATCGATAAACATGGTGTTCGCGGCGAACACCTCAATGATCGATTCTTTACCATAGGTTTAAATGGTGAAACAATCGATACATCGCAATTCACGCCACGCCACTGGAACCACAAGAAACATTCTAAGTGATTGATTACACCATTTGAGGGTTCAATTTTCTGGAGTTGTAAAATTCCGGCCGCCTGGAATGAAAAAGAATCTTGCGGTCGCAAGAGTCGGGTATCGTAAGATCCATTCATAGGAGCGACTCTCTCCAGACTCATCGACGCCGGAGCTGGGCAGGAGGAAGAGCGGAGGGTAATGAGTCTGAACGGTGGATGCGCACAATTTGTTATGTACAGCATGTAAAGAAGTCATATCGGCCGCGCTGGATGCTAGGCTTCCTCGCTCGTTTGATCCACCCATGACTGCGCACGCTCACTGCGGCGCCGCCGGCTAGAAGCGTGCGCAATGCGTCCTGTTACGCAATTCAACCTCAAATACACTGAAAAAAAATCTCGGTGTATTTACTGCGAAAAGGGTAAAATTACCAAGAATTCAGGGTTCTATTTGATCCCAGTTTTTTCTTGATAAAATTACAATTTATAGAATTGGTAATTTTACCGAGAAATCTCGGTAAAATTATTGAGCTTTCTCGGTAATTTTACTGGACCTTGGTAAAAACGCCAATAATTTGTATCGACTGTGGTAGAATTACCGAGATAAAATGGCAAAGTTACCGGGAATTGATTACCAATAGAAGTGGTATTCTTACCTAAAAAAAAAACAGTGAAAATGCCGGTTTTTAGGTAAGCTTACCAGTCTGTCTTGGTAAAACTACCAATAATTGGTAAAAAAGTGAGATGGTAAAGGTACCAACGGACCTTGGTAAAAACGCCGAGAATTTTTTTTCAGTGTACAAGGGCTGCAACTCGTGGCAGGGAGGGGGAGGAGGTAACAGGTAGCTCCTCGTGATGGCATGTGGCATCAGCGGCGCGTGTCAGAGAATCGTGTTTTGATTGTTGAAATAGATAGACAAAGCTAAAGATAAAGGAGACATGGGAAGTATGTAGCCATCCCATTGGTTGAAACGGGTGGTTCCTACAGATGCAGAGAGAAAATGATATGGACTAGAATCGCGTTTTGATGGTTGGAACGTGCAAAGAGGACTTAGAAAGTACCTAGTAGCGTTCCTATTAGTTGAAATGGGTGGTTCCTATAGAGGAATGGACAAAATGGTGGACTAGAATCGCGTTTTGATGGTTGGAACGTACAGCGGGTTGATTGTTGAAATCTACAGACAAAGCTATAGACAAAGATGACATGGTATGCAGCGGTCCTATTGGTTGAAATGGGTAGTTCCTATAGACGAAGGGAGAAAATGAAGGACTAACTGTAAGGTCTCTCGAGGGGCTGCTGTTAACTTGTGCCTCCTGTGTCCATTGCAACCACCCGCTGCCACCAAAAGGACCCCTCCATATCCCTTTTGTCGCCTCTGTCTATAGCTCTGTCCACCAATTTTGAAAATCATCCCGCAGACTAGCGAAAAATGACATGAGCTAACCGAATTCCAAGATCCAGCGTATTTAGATAAATCGGATTCCTCGACACAAGAAAGTAGCCCTTCCTTACGGGAAAGTTTTTTTCATGGCTGTGCTGAGAAAAATGTTTCTTGCGCCCTCAGACCGACGACTTTTTTATGTGATAGCGAACTATTTTCAAGAACAAAACATATTAAAAATATTAAGGAATCGCTTTATACCACGAAAAAGACGGAAAAAAATCACTAATTCCCAAAGACAGGTATAGTTTTGAGGGAAAGTGGCACTTTTCACTGTAGGTCAGATATGACGCGAAATTGCAACGTAGTGATTTTGATCTTGACGTTTCAACAACAAGAAAATGAGATTTTTAACGCAACAGATGTAATGAACAGCGCTATAAATGGTTACTACTTGCATCGGAGAGAAAAGACTCTTCTCGTAGGATATTATAGGAAAAGAGCGATTTGTTTAATTTTTTCGCTTTGAATCGTACAAAAGATAAAAGTTTCGCACAGGAACGATCGACCGGTGACTCCGAAGGGAAAATTCGCGCCAATTTGAGATCTCTTCTCGAGATTTTATTTCGAATGAGTGGCCCACCTCAGAACATTTGAGAAGCAAATCCTCATCCTCTTAGTTGAACTGACGTGTAGGTAAACTCGTCACTAATTAAACATTTAAAAAAGTTGACCAATGACGATTTATCCTAAAACCACAAAAACGTCAATATGTTCCAAGCAAAGTGATGCGAAACTATAAAAAGATAACTATAATCACTTTGTCCAACCTTTTGGCATGAGATTTTTATCTAAAAATACTCAATTTAGTGAAAGCAAACGCTAAATTTTTTAAAAAATTTCAAGGACCGTTTCAACAGTGCAACTCCCAGTCTTATCAAGTTTCAAATGGGGCGCAACACGTTCATGATGCGAGTCAAATTTTAAGTCCTTTCAGTTAAATTGGTGATCATAGAATAACTATGATACACCTAAAAATAAGTTTATAAGTCTCACTAAAAGCCCAACTGATTTACTTGGGCAGACATTTAGATTAAGGTGAGAAAAGTCCTGATAAAACTCGTTTAAGATAGGAATCCTCTCTTCATTTTCTAGCAATTTTCGAATGTCTGCACATTCTAGTTCTCATACAAACATCTGTCAATCCACTACAATGCCTCAGCACCATTTATGTGAACATGACATTGATTTTTTTTTTCAGAATGGACAGCACAAGCTCAAAGAATCGTTTCGTGCGAAAAACCACTGACGTCTATTTTTCCAGTCTTAAGTTTTTTGGGGTTGATAATACTTTTCAGCACTTTCAATACTTTACATGCAACCATAAAAATAGCGTTGACATTCCATTTTGAGATGATGTCTCGATCCCAAAAAGAGTATTTTCAGCGCTTTTATGATTGTATCAATCCTTGGGAGTAATATCAACATGAAAAAAACTGTAAGATGCAAAAATGGATATTATAGCGGTTTTCGTACGCCATGATTCAATTAAAGGGTGCATTTCTTATGTAAATTTAGTTGGGCTGTGGGTGAAGGGATACATTCATTTTACGTTCGCTTTTTTTGAATTGATATCCAACCCTCAAACTTAATGATATTATCTGATTTTTCGAAACAAAAATGTCTACATATATTACGGGGTAGGCATCAACGATATTTTCTGCACGGCAGAAATTCCCATTAGTAAGAGCAAAAACTCACAGTGAGCACACTTTTCCTTTGAGCACTAGACTTTGTACATTACCAGGAGGATATCCATGTATTCATTCACCATTTCACCAAAAGATATTCAAATTGTACATCTCCAGAAAGATATCCATATATCCATTCATCATTTCACCAAAAGGTATTCAAATAAAATATAAAAACAGCGTTACAATTCGACAAACTTGAGCCGCGGTAATCCACTGCCCGCTCGATAAACTCGGAGATTCAGACGCGATCCATCCGCACAATTCAAAATCAATATCGAACACTATCGCAAAGGCACAGATACCGGTCGAACACACGCGAACTCAAACGCATGGAGCGCGAACACCGAGGCAAGCACACTGAGATGCGCGTCGTCACTGAGGCCCTGGACGCACCACAACGAACGGGCCCCGCTGTGGGCCCACGGACCCGCGCCGGCCGGCCAATCAGCGCGCGCCCCCCAGTGACGTCACACGCGCGGACGAGCGAACCGGTCTCGCGGTGGAAAGTGGACGGGTTTTTCGATCGATGGCCGGTCGGATAATTATGTCGATTGTGCCGGTTTCTAGTGTAATACTAGGGTAATATGCCCTTTCCAAAGTCCCTCACTTTCCCTGCGAAACGAGCCGGCCCGAGGGCCGAGGCCCGCTGCAAATGCCGTTTATGCACTCTGCACTTTCGTTCATAGAAAAAGTGAGCTTGCATTCCGACTCCATTCGATTGGGATGTTTCAAGCTTGCATTCAATGGGCCACTAGACCAAGTCTGACGGGAGTACCTACATAGGGAGAGTGCGGGTTGTCACAGAGCTTACAGGGTCCAAAAATACAGCCAACCTATGAATTCAAATCATCCAGGGAGATTTTTTATTACAATAGGTCTGTTGTAAAATTTTGCTAGAGCAAAAATAAGAGTTATTTCAATCAGTAAATGTGTGAAAAATTACCATGAGCGCACTGGCAAATTTCGAAATGCATACTTCATGCTAACTTCATAATCTGCGTAAGAGATTAGCGTTTTTTTATCTTCTCGCTTCAAAAATCGATACTGCGGAATAGATGAGAATTGCGTTTGAGGTGTCACTCTATCCAACCTCTATGCACTAGATTACTACACAATATTCAACATATCCGACACCAAACCGCCAAAAAACATGTGCCTGGATGAGATTCGTACCATTTGTCAACAACCCATCGTGATTACATTCACAATTTCTTCGCGTTGATAAAACTCCGCTTTGGTTGACCTTTCGCTTCCGATTGCTTACTGATTTGTAAGTCCATTGCAACCACCGATAATAGACTAACTGATCACAACCGACAAGAAACCTTACAGTTTGTCTATCATTTTCTCCCTAAGTCTTAAGAACCACCCGTTTCAACCAATGGAATCACTCTACACTCCCTCTTTGTCTACATCTTTGCCTATCAATTTCAATAATCAGCCCGCTGGAGGTGATCTTTACGCTTTATGGAAGATGACAGCAAGGGGTCTGTAAAGTGATAAAACCCGGCTAGAGGCTCTTAAGTTACTCCATTATTTTCTCCATTATTGTGTAGTAACCAACCGTTTCAGCCAATATATCACGGCTCCATTTTCCCTTCGTCCTCTTTGTCTATTGTTTTGTCTATTGATGTCAATAATCAGCCTATAGGACCCGAGATGGCGCAACTGGTATAAAGGGACTCTAATGTAAGTGAGAATCCCTAAGAGGACGTCACTCGTCATAATATCGCATATTAGAGCACCAAATGGACTTCATTTTGCAATTTGGACCTATAAATTCTGGCTCATCTGAAAAAACACTTATGTGCATAGAGAAACTAATGGCACATACGTTGTTTTTAAACCGGGCCAGAATTTATAGTTCCTAATTGCAAAATGTAGTCCAAATACAAATCACTTTGTCGTTTGGTCTATTTTGTAAAGCGAATTTTGAAACTTTTAAGGATACTAAGTCCTCGAAAATTATGGATCTAAAGAGACTAAATCGTCGCCTATCTGACAAAAGGACATAACTACAATGAGCAATGAACCCTGTCGTCCTTCCATTTCAATGCTTTTCCGGGCTCATCTCAATGTGTAGTTACGCCCTTATGTCAGCCGAACGACGAAGTGATCGCAGTTTCTTGTTGGGTTTCATTCAAGGTGCAACAAGCACATATACCTTGGTGACTTTAACGAACGATCAAAAATGTATAGTATGAACTGACGTTGCCATCCCCCAGCGAGATGTTTATTGAAATTGATAGACAAAGCTATAGACAAAGGTATAAAAAGAGATTCTATCGTTTTAATGGAGAATTTGCGAAGGTCTGAAATTTGATGACTTTTGTGTTTGAATGAAATGTACTGAGTGAACTGAACACGAAGATACCCTTGATTCATAAATTGAGCAATTATTAGAGGAATTATGACGAAATAACCGATCCTGCTAAAATACATGTGTTTAAATGGGAAATGCCGCCACATGACGTCATAAGACGGCACATATTTTCACTTTTTAATAAATTTTTCTCCAATTTCTCATGTCAGAAAAAAATTCTGAAAAATACTGCGAACTCAGGTCAATAGGTACTTTCAGGTGAAGCAATAAAATGTTCGTGTGCAAATGCTCTATTAACGCTAACATTTTTAACAGAATGAGAACAATTAATATTCGTTAATGTTTCAAAGTATAGTCAACAAATTATCAAAGATTCAACTTTTAAAAATGTAGTCGCGAGATAAAAGCCTTACGCAAGAATCGAGTCGATTAAAAGAAAGATCATTTATTTGTAGTTCCAGGCGACGCGACGCATTGTGGCTTACGCCATCCTCAAAGGCTCGGGAACCTTTCACTTTCCCCGCGAACAAGCCTCCTTGGGGCGCGGTCTCGCTAGCTTTTGCTCCTTGTAAATGCCGTTTCGAGGCTCGATTCACTTTCGTTCAGGTTGCCAGATTGTGTGAAAATCATTGAGTTGCACACTAGACGTGTCATGATTTTGCTACATTTTCAGCACAATCTGGCAAAATACTTTAGTTCGATAGAAAAAGTGATCTTGGATTGCGACGGCGTTCGGTTGGGACGCTTCCAAAGAAGGCGTGATGTCTTTCGTTCCGTTGACACAAATGAGAATTTCAGCTGCGGTAAGCCTTGACACTGAATGTCGGGTTTCTTAAGGCACAGGCAAAGATTTTCTTAATTGTAGGCGGGTATTAGCTTATATTGAAGGGTTGGTTGGAAGTCAAATTGTCGTGTATAAGGTATCAGATCTTTACTGGGAGTAAATTATTTTATTCCGACTAGACGTCACCCAAACGAAGGGGCAGAACTAGTTTCTATGATTGCAAAATTGCGACCATAGGTCATAAGCAGCACATACACTGAAAAATTAATTACTTGAAACCGTTGTCAGACAAAAAACAGGGGTATAATTTGCATTTTTCAAGAGCGATTTTAGGATATAAAAAAGACTATCATAATCCTCTATGTCTATTTTGTTCAACAAGAGTCTTTATGATACACAAATAAACATGTGCTTATATGCAGGTGTCAATGACAAGAACCTTATCATAGTATCAAATGATATTATGATAACACGGAACTAACTTGGCCTAAGTATTGGTGCTTCACCTTGTCCCATGAAAAAGTGTTTGTATATATTGGTTGAAATGAAGAACAACTTCGTCTGCCAAAAAACACAGTAAAATAACAACTTAATCTAGGAAAGGCTGTAGTGAAGTACGAAGATCCTGGGACGTTTTGACATTACAAAAAGCGAGTTTTCGATTCGCTAAAATTGCATCGTCCTTCCGATAGAAAATGAGACTAAAATAATTTCATAATGTCCAGGTTCTTGAGAGATATTTTGCACTTTTTACAGCGGCTTTAAGTTGTCATTTTACTTTGTTAAAATGTTCGCGATGTATCACTGAAGTTTGTGTGACTTAAGACTTTTGTACTTCTGCATTTCAACAGGACAAGACTGAAGTAAAATGAAGCTGTGCAATTTGTTGGTCACGACTGTCACAAAGATGTATCGGATGATGGACGACAAGCCATCAGGGTATACCTTTTTACTGTGATTGACAGCTAATCGAAAGTTCCACCTGATCCAGCTACGTGACAAGCATAACTAACCAGTTGCTTGGCTTAGTTTAGCTTTTTCTTGTTTTTTTTTTTTCTTGACAATCACAACATTTAAAAATTGTTTAACAGGCCAGGGGTGAATCTAATACGAGTTATCCATTTTTCAAAACGAGAATCCTTAACTTTTTATTGGCAGATTTTTCAATACGAATAACGAATTCGATCTGATGATATTTTGAATTCGACCGTTTACAAAACTGTTGAGTTCTCCAGTTCACTCTTAATTCCTCTATCTTATTGATTTTGGTTTCTTTTCCTCTAAGTAAGAAAATTTATCTCATTATGAATACTATAATCGTGATTTTTGCGAGAGAATTCTATTATTTTTATCGAACAGGGTCGTGAAATTTCCTAATCTTTTTTCATTTCGAATCGGGGCAAAAACATTTGCTGGCTAATGCCTAACTTTGCAAGAATGATAAGCACCAATATTTTGACGGATTAGACAATTAGCATACTGTCATGACATTTCCCAAATAAGTAAAATTGAATGAATTTTTCCTGTTCATCCTGACTTTTTAAAAAGTAGCCACTCTATGAACTTTATAGAAAAAAAATCCGGGGCATGTATTCAAATCCACATAATGGACTCTAAAATGTTATCCATCAGGATAGATCAAAATCTTGACCAACCACTTTTAAGTAACAGGCCCCTTCTTTCATTCATTTCTTGTTAATTTGTCACGAAATTATTTTGCGAAATTGGTCGACATACATACCGTCCTAGAAGACCCCGGAAAAAGAAGGTACGCCATTTATTTCAGAAGTGTTATAGACTCTTTATGACTACTTTATAGACTATGATGACTTTATTCATCATTTCAAGTTTTTATTGTATTGAATTTTGCAATAAGGAGCCACTATCTCTGGTTCTTTCATAAAATCACCTTTCTGCGCAGGGAAACCAATGGCATGCATGTTGTTTCAAGAATAAGCCATAAAATAATGATTTCTCATTGCAAAATGAGATCAAATTTTGAGTCCTTAAAGCGCTGCACTGGTACCATTGAATGCCTCATAGGGCAGCTCAAATGTTCTATTTTATACTGTAGAAGTAGAAGTCAGCTTAATTTTTTTACAATTTTTGACGAAGTGAAAAGTGAAAATGTAAAAATATAAAATGGACTGAGGACTGAAGCACTATACAAAGAGTGAAATCTCCGGGGTTCAGGAGGTTAATAATATAGATAAAAATACAACATGATGAGACCAATAAACGATATATTACGGCACT